ATAAAACTTAAAAAAAATTAAGAAAGAGAGCTTAGTACTCTGACATATGCCTATATTTTCAGTTTCTTGGGAATCTGAGACAGAAGGATTGCTTGAGCCTGGAAATTTGAGTCCAGCCTGGACAATATAAAGGGATCCTGCCTGGGACCTCTTAAAAGGGCTGGGAACATAAATCAGTGGTTGAGCATGTGCTCAGCATGCCTCAGACCCTAGGTTTGATCCCTCAGCACCACAAGAATAAGTCAGTAAGTAAGTACATAAATAAATTCACAATAAATGGCCCAAATTTCCCTTAAAGAACAAGTAGGGGGAAAGAACAAACTAAATCCAAAGCTAGCAGAAGGAAGAAAACAGAGTAGAGATAAGTGAAATAGAGAACAATAGAATCAGCAAAATCAAAAGTGCAGCTTGTTAGCTTTGCCAAGCATGAGGGAGCACATCTGTAATCTCACATTTAGGATGTTGAGGCAGGAGCGTTGCCCATGGCTAGCCAGGGCCTAAAATAAAAATAGTGCTTTTAGTGGGTGGAGAAGCTAAAATTGATTAGCTAAATTAATAATTAAAAAAGAATGAAATCACTAAGATTTGAAATGGTTTTATTACAGGCCTCACATAAATAAGACTCTTATGCACAGTTGTATGACAACAAATGTGTAACCTAGATGAAATAGGAATGGTTCTAGAAACATATCAACTATTAAAACTGACTCTAGAAGAAATAGAAAACCTGAACATCCCTTGTAACAAGTAAATAAATTAATCAACAAAGTAAAACCCAGGACCAGATGACTTCACTTGTTAATTTTATCAAACAGTTAACAGATTAATATTAATCTTCCTCAAATTCTCCCAGAATAGGGTGGTACTTCTTGACCCTTTATATGAAGTTAGCATTCCCCTGATATTAAAGCTAGGTAAATAAGAAAAACAAAGTAAAAGACAAATTACATAAAGGAAGAAGTTATTTGCAAACTCTAGTCCTTGTAAGGGTCTAGAATCCAGAATAAAAAATCTAGAATCTCACAACACAAAAAGATTAGCAACCACTTTGTAATGGTCAGAAAATTGAATAAGCATTTGTCCAAAGTAAACAGATAGGTGGCCAACAAACACATGAGAAGATGTTCCATACCTTTAGGCATGAAAATTCACATGAGAATTTTGAATTCATTATTTCACTATCTCACAATGAAATCTAATTTCACACTAGGATTGATATAATTTTAAAAGGTACATTGCTGGGGGCTGGAGAGATGGCTCAGAAGTTAAAAACACTTCATGCTCTTCCAGAGGAATTGGATTCCATTCTTAGCATCCACATGGCTGCTCACAACTATCTAAAACTCTAGTTCCAGATGCCTTCTTCTGGCTCCAGTGGCTCCAGTAACACAAGAGGTACACAGACATATGCAAGCAAAACACCCATACACATTTTCTAAAGGACATTGTTAATGAGAATGTCAAATAATGCAGCCATTTGTATACTTCCTCAAAAAATTGAACACAGAGCTGTGCATGGTGGCACATGCCTTTAATCCCAACATCCAGGAGGTAGATCTCTATGAATTAGAGGCCAGCTTGGTCTGCATATTGAGTTCCAAGACAGCAATATAGAGCTATATAGTGAGAGCCTGACTGAAAAAAAAAAAAAAAAAAAACTTATGGACTGTAAAGACAGCTTAGAGTACTTGCTGCATAAGTATACAGACCTGAGTTCAGATTTCCTACACCAATATAAAAAACCAGGTATGGCCGTGTATTCCTGTAACCTCAGTGTTGGCAAAGGTGGAGACAGGGATATCTCTGGGGCTTGCTGGCCATCAGCCTAGCCAGAAAGCAGTGGGAGACCCCATCTCAGGAGAATAAGGAAGAAAACGATGGAAGAAGACACACAACTTCCTCCACTGGTCTTCACATACATGCTTATGCATATGTACACTAACATACATGTGTACATACATGCATATATACCACATGCACACACTATATCATTATGCTGGACTGAATGTTTCTCAGTGGTTAGAGTACTTGCCTAGCATAACCCCAGAACAAATAAAGCCTACACAAAAGATCACATTTTATGATTTTGTTCATATAAAATATTCAACATAGGTAAATCCCTAAGAGACAGAAAGATTAGTGCTAGGGCATATGGGAGAAGGAAAAGTGAGGAATGACTGCGTAATGGAAAAGAGATTTCCTTTGGGGATGACAAAAACATTTGGAAATAGAAGTAGCTGTTGTACAGCATTGTAAATATACTAAATGCTACTGGATTGTACATTTTTAAATAGTTAATTTTATATTACATGTTAGTTTTTTTAATGAAAGATATTTGTTCCAGAGCCTGAATTTTTATACTGAACAATATCCTGCTTTGCAAAATGTTGTAGTTTTGCCATACAAGACATGCTGTTATTTGATAAAGAGCCACCAAAAGTTGTTTCAGTCCCTACCTGTGAGGCTGATTCTATTCATAAGCACACAGTGCCGGCTCTGTTCTATCCTCCACTGTATCTGTGTGTCATTGGCAAGCCTACTACCTTGGCCTCCTGATGACTGATAACAGGCACGAACCACCACACTATGCTTCCAGTTTCTTTTCCTGAACAGCTCCTAGACAGGCATTGAAGAGCCTCACTGTCCTTTCCATTTTTTTTCTTGTTCATGTTTTCTGGTGCCATAGCGCTCTCTCTTTGTTATGGACAATTTTATCCCTTTCTTACTTTATAGTTACCACTAACTTTTTGTTTCTTTTTTATGTGGGGGAAGGCCTCGAAGACAACTTTGAGTGTCATGAGATAGTGTGTCATTGTCCTGGAGCTCACCAGTCAGGCTAGCCAGGCTAGTAAGTGACTCCCAGAGCTTCTTGTCTCTGCCTTTCTAAAACTGGGGCTACAAGCATGCACCCCCATGCTTGGCTTCTAACATCCAGCTCAGGTCCTTGTACCAGGCCATTGCTCCAGCCCAATTTCTTTGTTTCTTTAAGTACTTTGAGTGAGATGAGTTCTTCCTGAGTTAGCTATTTAGAAAAGACTTGTATGAAAGGGGTGGCAGGTCCATACATTTGAGGTTGTTTTCTTCTTGAAACAACGTGCACATGAGTTCTCCCCCCAGTGAACCGGTCCTGCGGGTTTGTTTATTGTGCAGCATCCCTCCACTCCACCTCACCATCAGATGGACTCTGCCTTCCTCAGCCTTAAATCTTTGTGACAAGTGGATCTAGGCGAGCTCTGGCTTCAGCCACCTGTCTGTTCTCATTGCTGTGGGTGTTGGATAGTCGGATGCCACACTTCTTTGGGAAACTACATCACTGTCTTTATGCAGGTTCACATTCCTAATCCTCTCTCCTGCTCTGTTTGGTTTTTACTGTCGCCTGTAGTCTTTCCTACCAGGCTGGTACCCAAAGCTTCTGAATGTCTTTAGCTTCATTGTTAAAAGGTTGTCTGGTTTTTTGCTTTTGGGGTTTTTTGTTTGTTTGTTTGTTTGTTTGTTTTTGTTCTGTTTGCTTTTCTTGTGTTTTTCATTCTCCTTGAGTTTTTTGTTTGTTTGGGACAGGGTCTCAGTATATAGTCTGGCTTCCCTCAAACCCAAAAATCTTCCTGCCTTTCCCCTTCCAAGTGCAGGAATTACAGGTATGCCAGCACATCTGGTTCAAAAGTTTACAACTTTGACTTTACAAAGAATAAGGGGTTCTTTTGAAGGGGAAATCATTGTTTTTATTATTTCACCATTCAAAAACAAAATCTTGTCACTAGCACTTTTTCCAACATTTCTATATGTTTAGGGAAAGATATGCATGTGTGTACACACATGTAAAAGTGTTTAGGAGAGAGTGGGGCAGATGGGAGGGGATGGATTTCAATGTCATAGACCATCTTGACAAGATGAATAATGAAAGGTCAGCCATAATTTGTGTGGATGCTGTTACTCAAAGTATATAAATTGAGCTCCTTTGCAGCCTATAGGAAGGGAAATCAAAGTCAACATTTAGCAATGTTATAAACAATCCTATGTGTTATTCTTTGCACACTTGACTTTTTAAACTAAGATTTCTCTTCAGGGTCTACTAAATGTGTTCATTAAAATAGCTGCCATCCCCACAGTCCATGCTAAAGTCCAAGCCACACATACACCGTGTGGCTTCCTCTTCCTTCCCCAGACCACAGATGGGCTTCTGGACCATTTCATAGTCTGTCCCGCAATCCCAATTGTTACCTAATGTAAACCAGAGCCTCTCATGAATTATAGTCTGAAAACAAAAGGATCAGAAGACAGACAATAGGAACAACAAGATCACTGTGAGATGCCATGCGGAACACAGAAAATCATTAAAGAAGCAGGATCTGCCCAGGCCTAGTGGAGCATACACTTAGTCCCAGCACATGGGACATGAGTTCAAGGCCAGCCTGGTCCATATAGTGAATTCCAGGACAGCCTGAGGGACCTGACAAAGAGAGAGAGGGGGGTTGGGAGAGGGGGAAAGAGAGAAAGAGAGGCAGGATCTGGCAGATACAGTTGAAACACAAAGCAGAAGGAATGGAGAGAGGCAGTAAAATCAGTTCGTTGATAAAGACAAGAAGACATTACACAGAGAAGGCCTGAAAAGATGGCTCAGTGGCTAAGAGCATCTACTGCTGTATCAGAGGACCAGAATTCAGATTCCAGAACTCACAAATCTAGAAACAAGCAATATGGCAGAGCCAGCTCTGCCTAAACTAAAAAAAACACTGCGTCCTGAATTGGCTTTGTACACAGAAGTGAAGACTCAAACCTTGCTGACTTCTCAAAGGTTTCATGTCCCTCACTATTTCCAGCCTCTGCCTGAATAGTGGAAGTAAGAGTAAGTTGACTGTCATGCAGTCTTTTATTTCACTATTAAGGAAGAGTATTTTTCCCCCTGACTTTGGCTTTAAGGGGATCAGAGTATAGTATGAAAGGCAATAGCATTTGGGGGTTTTTGCCTACAAAAAAATATAAACAAAATATTTGTTGTTCAGTTTGCTTTGGTAGCTAAGGACAAAGAAGAGCATGAGCAAACCTCAAGGTCCTGCAGTAGAGGAGGTGAGAGCCTGATCATCACAGTGAAGAACTATATACAACAAACTTCAACCTCAAGCTGGTTCTGGTGGTATGGGCCTGTAATTCCAACATTTGGGAGGTGGAGGCAGGAGGATCTTGAGTTCCAGACCAACCTGCATAAAGAGATCCCAATTCAAAACAACCTACCAAATCAGAACACCAAACAGTAAGTTTCCTAAGTAAAAATTGGGGGGAAATGATAAGTCAGCATCGGGGGCTGTGTGTTGGAATTTCTATGAGCTTTAGTGGGCTTTCCCTCCTATGGTAAATTATTGTTTTCCTTAGTCTCTCTGACAACACAAAAGTTTAGAAGACTGACTTCCTTTACTTTTGTTTTAAGGTGTCTTAGAACAAGGAAATCTATTTAAAACCTTTAACTGGGCTGGAGAGATGGCTCAGGAGGTGGAGATGCTTGCCTCCAAGCCTGACGACCCAAGTTTGATCCCTGAGAGGAAGGAGTGAACTGATTCCTGCAAATTGTCCTCTGACCTCCACACATGCTATGGCATGCACAATGACACATGTACACAAAATACACAAATGTAATTTTAAAGATATTTAAATTCTGTTTTAAAAATAACACACCAAATGTGATAGTATGAAAAACATTATAATTTTTCATCCAAAGATAATAAATGTATTAATAAAGAGGGTAAACTTTTATATAGTTTATTTGAATTATTTTCAAAAGTTCTGGTGGGCTTCCTTACTTTCTTACCCACCTCTCTAATTTCTGTTTTTCCAGAGGTCTAGAGAGAGCATAGAATGCTAAAGCTATATGTTAAACATTTCCTTGATTTCCTCTCTTGATCCACAGTCCATTCCCGGCTCCTATGATCTTGTTTTCCACACTGTGTCCAGAAAACGTGCAGGGCTGTTGGAGAGTAACTTACCTCCATGAAGCTTGGTCATCAGGCCACCAGGTGGCAGAGACAGGCAACTTGGCTTTGCTCAGTGGGCCCAGGATGGCTGCCGCCCAGTAGTCCTGGGCCTGTTAGTTTGCTAGGAATGGACTTGGGGCCCATGAGAGGAGGAGGGAGAGTTCAGGAGCTGGAGAAGAGAGGAAGGCCAAAGAGAGGTCTGGCGGGTTCCGTGACAGTTTGTCAGTTGCTTTGATCATATTCGCTTTCAAGAAAGAGAAACTCTGATTGGATTGGAATGGCCTATCAACCCCTTTTATTTTATTTTATTTGGGGCAGGGTTCTTTTAAATTTCAGGTGGTAATCTAATTTTTTTTTTAATATTTAATCTTGTGAGTGCTGGGAACCAAACTATGGTCCTCTGCAGGCAAAGTCTTAACTGCTGAGCCATCTCTCCAGCCCTGGTAATGTAATGTTAAGGTTTACAGATCTCGCTTCTGAATGAGGCTGCTCTAGAAAGAGAAAATCATCATCATCATCATCATCATCAGCAGCAGCAGCAGCAGCAGCAGCAGCAGCAGCTGTACTCCTGACTCAGGAGACAGCACTTCGGTCCACCTGGGCCTGGCAGCCCAAGGCCCACTGGACCGCGGAGGGCAGCTGCTTCCCTCTCGCCTTCCTCTTACCATCTATTGAAGCACACCTGAGTGAGTAGCAGGGTCTGGGGTCAGGCCCTAAGGAGGCAGGGTAAGATGCTTTCACACAGCTTTCTCTAGCACTTTTAGCTTAGAGATTCCTACCTAGACCATGCTCATCCAGGACATATAAAGAACTATCTTGGAGCCAGCAGGTTTGCTGTTTTGCTTACAGTAATTCCAACCCAATGTATTGTCTGGAGTGGGTAGTGCCTGTCTGCTATCCACGCACCACTCTGCTGCCAGAGTTAGAACTGCCGGCATACGCCTTGTTTCTCTGGCTTTGCACAGGCTGTCCCTTCTGCTAGGGGGCGCTCTCTGCCAAGAGAGTTAGTGAGAAGTCAGAGCTAACTCTATGCAGCAGCACTTTGCAGCTGTTTCTATCATAGCTCTGATTATACTGCGTTGTTTCTTTCATAAAGAAACTTATTTGTTTTCATATCTTTTTCCCAAGAAACTGTAAGCTTCTTGGAAGGAAAAACTATCTTCTTAGGCCCCCAGGCTTACCACACTATCAATATGTAATAAACGCTGGCTAAGTGAGTGAATGGACAAATGAGGGGCACCTGTCAATGGCCTAGACCCTCTCCTTTCTGTTTGCTTGTTTGGTTTTACTATATTTGGGGGAAGGTTGTTTTGGTTTGGTTGTTGTTGTTGTTGTTTTGTATATGTTTTAGAAGCAGTGTCTCTTTACATAGCCCTGGCTATTCTGGAACTCACTATGTAGACCAGGCTGGCCTCAAACGCATGGAGATCTGCCTGCCTCTGCCTCCCAAATGCTGAGATTAAATGCCCAGCATGTATGTTTGTTTGTTTGTTTGTTTGTTTTTGTATATTTGGTGCTATGGTTAACTCAGTACCTTGTACCTGCTAGACAAGCACCCTAATTACTGCCCTACCCCAGCCTTCTTTCCGGTTGGATGATTGAATAACTGCTGCTCTTCTAGCTTGTTCAGAAAAAAGGAAGAGAGTGGTTCGTTCACTAAAAGCACTCTCCTATCAGGAAAGCCAAGGGACATGGTGACACCACACTGTCAGTTTTTCTGTCTTCCCTGTAGAGAATCAGTGAGACTGGCAGAGCCATACCTGGGGCCTCATGTCTTTGCATGCCTCAGAAGAAAGGCATATAAGCCACAGGAACTTTTCATGTATGGAAAAGTAAGAGGAAGGGATGATCTCTCAAATACTACCTAATTAATGTCTTCCATGCCACGGGGTTATCATGTCATTGGACAATACAACAAAACCGCACATTTTCTCAAGTCAGAAATCTACCTGCATGACACTATGGCACTGAACTATGAAATTAGAGATGCAGGGAAGATGCACAAGATTGCACTGCTGACATAATGCTCTGGGCTGCTAGGCATGATAGTGTACACCCAGAAAACCAGTACTTGAGTGACAAGCAGGAAAATCAACCAGTTCATGGCTAGCCTGGGATACAAAGTGAGACTTGTCTTAAAAGTCCTCTTTTTAAACCCCACAAAACTGTGTACTAATAAATATTCAAAACTGTTAGTAGTAAAGCTGCTGCTCCTAACTTTGAACACTTTTTTAGAAATACGGAGTGAAAAGCTGGGCCTGGTGGATCATGCCTATAACCAGCCCTTGGGAATTAGAGGCAGGAGAATCATAGTGAGTTAAGGCCAACCTCAGTTATATGGTACATGAGACCTTGCTTTTTTAAAAAAGGAACAAAATCTAGGGAGGTGGCTCAGTGAAGAGTGCTTGCCCTTCAAGGTTGAGGACCTGAGTTTGAATCCCCAGAACCCACTTAGAGACAAATGCAGCAGCTCATTTATAATCTCAGTGTTCCTACCATAAGATGGAAAATGGAGCCAAGAGAATCCCCAGAAACTTGCAGGCTAGCTAACCTACAGAAAAAGAGAACCCGTCTCAACCTAGGAGAAGGCATGGACCAACACCCAAGGATATCCTCTGACCTATACATACATGCTCCCTCCATGTGCATGTTCATACACACAAAACAAACTGCTCCCCCAAAACCCTACTGCCCAGTGAGACCCATACCTTCCTGTGAGCCTCAGAGCTAAATCTAGACTGTACTGGAGCAGTCCAGGGTTATAGGTACAGAAGTGCAGAGATTGCATGCAGGCCAAGGCCTCCTTGACATGCTCCTTGGTGCTTAGTGTGTTTTAGACTGCCAGGAGAGCTGGAGGAAACCACAGGAAAGAAGTCCAGGACAGTGGGTGCTGCTGTTGCTCCTTGCTGTCACTGAGAGGACACTACTGGCTTAGAGACATCATTAGGATGCAAGTGCCATTGAGAGCCTACTTAATAAAACTCTTTGACTATTCCAGGATAAACATTTTAATAGTAGGAGTTAAGTGCTTAATTGCAGCCCACAGGTCACATGTGTCCCAAGAAAACTATGAATGTGACACAACACATTTGTAGATGACAAAGGTCATGTTGCAGTATCAAAAGGTTGGACATTTCTGGGTATTTCATACTCATCTTGCACATCCTGTACCAAGCCAAACAACCAAGGTCTGGGATGTGGGCAATATCCTAAAGAATCCAGTGGTGACAGAGGCTGTAGTCCCAGAACTCAGAAGACTGAAGTAGGAGAATCACCACTAATTCAAGGCCAGCTAAGGCTACAGAGTGAATTTGTGGTCAGCTTGAGTGACATATTGAGACCCTGTCTCAAACAAACAAACAAAAATAAGCAACCATAGCCGGGCGATGGTGGCGCATGCCTTTAATCCCAGCACTTGGGAGGCAGAGCCAGGCGGATCTCTGTGAGTTCGAGGCCAGTCTGGGCTACCAAGTGAGTTCCAAGAAAGGTGCAAAGCTACACAGAGAAACCCTGTCTCGAAAAAAGAAAAAGAAAAAGAAAAAAAAAAAAGCAACCAGAATGCAATGGGAGACAGATGTGCAGGTATAGGCACTGCCTTACTGGTTTACCTGAGCTTGCATGTGGAGAAAATGCTGCTATGTGTACTGTAAGGAATGAGTGCTTCCCTGCACATTTTATTAGAGAAAGGGAAAGAGCATTGCAGAAATCACACCTCTCCCATCCCGAGGTACAGGTTGCTTTGTGAGAGCTACATGATACTCTGTAAAAGAGTAAATATGTTTCTCAAGGCCTGAGAGCCAGCCAGTCTGCTGTTTGTTCACAGGAGCATGCTAAGTTGGTTAGCTGACCCAATTGTTAGAACACAGACAACCTGTACAACCAAGGTAAAGTAGTTCCTCCCTGTCCTGGCATGTCAGAGGTCAGAGAATGTAAAACCACTATTGTAAGTTCCAATGTGCATAGCAACTTAGCAGGCTGGCCTCAAAGGCCATTAGTCATGGTATTTACCTGCATACCATGTACTTCATTCACCCTCCGGTAGAAGTAGTCAGAAAGAACTGACTTCCACTCCAGTATAATCAGGAAATGCAGAAAGTGCCCTGCCTGGCCCATTAACAAAAATAAAGTTTCCCTTGCTCTAAACAGAAACAAATTTGATGCTTAGTTTTACATCTACTCTTTTTTTTTCTTTTTTTATTTTTCAAGACAGGGTTTCTCTGTAGCCATGGCTGTCCTGGAACTCCCTCTGTAAACCAGGCTCGCCTCAAACTTACAGACTCTGGAG